GGTCCATCTGTTTTATCCTCTCGAAGTATATCACTTTGCTGATGGTTTCCCTGGCGTCAAACGAACTCCAGCCGAGTTCACCTTCGATGAATTCTTTGGCTATTGTGGATGGGGAATGCCAAGGGCCCATNTCCCCGCGTCTCGCTGCCTGACTTCGATGTGGTTTCTCAGCTTTTTGGCATAGTTATGACTGTATTGCAGTACGTGAGTTGCGGTACGGCTGTAGCTTTCCAGAGAATTTTGGAGACTTCGAATCTATTGAAGCTCCAGAGGGTTCTCGCGTTGAGTCTCTGTATTGCTTGGTTGGCTTTTTCGGACGTTTGGTCCCAGTGCTGGGACAGATAGTCGTCGTCTGCCGATAAAACCAGTCCTAGATATTTGTAGGAATCCACCTTTGGTATTGGAAGTCCCTGTATCTTAAGAGTTTTATCTTCGGAATGGTCGTTTGGTGGTCGAGAGAAGACCATGACTCCGCTCTTCTCAGGGTTGAATTTGATAGACATATCATTCCCCAAATCTATGTAGTTGTTACTTCTAGGAGCGCTTCCATATCCGCGATTCTGTTTGCCATCAAGACTAGGTCGTCGGCGAATAGCAAACCTGGGATCATGAAGAATTTCTTCTCTTTCGTGTCCCAGTAGTTGCCTCTCATCGAGAACCTGAAGCCGAGTCCTGTTGCCAGGAGTTCATTTTCTAGGTTCGAATAGGCTGAAGAGAGTGCTGGAGAGAGGACATCCCTGTCGAAGACCATCGGTGATGGATATCTCGTCAGAGGTATGGTCCCCATGTTTGAGAAATACTCTTGTATCCTCGTACATGTATTTTAGGAATTCAACTAGTGGTGTGCTCATTCCTCTCTCTTCTAGAGTTTGCCACAGCCTGTTTCGGTCGATTCGATCGTAGGCTTTCGTGGCGTCTAGAAATACGCAGTAGAGCCCCTTTGTTTCAGTATTGGCCCTTGCGATCTCTATTGCAGTTGTCAAGATGAACACATTGTCATC